TTCACTCATACGAGGTTAACATATAAGAATGAATCTCTAAAGGATAAGATGGAATCTTAAGCTGATTAAAATCTATTTAAGAAGTGATTAGGATATGGATAAATCAGGAACCTGGGCAGGCTGACCGGGGTCATTCCGGGCAGGTATTTCCCCTTATATAATGGGATGAGGTATGACCAACCCCTAATTTTGACACACTCTCTACACATTTCACATGTTGTTGCTATATCTGCAGAGCATTCTTCTCTCTTCTTGATACTAACTTAAGCATCGGAGGCTCTACGGCGGGAACCCCTCCGGCGTTAAGTTCTTGCAGGTGTTCGTGACGATCTAGAGGCTGTTCAGATAAATTCATCTCCACCGGTTTACTCCAGATCCAGGAGGAGACCTATCATGAATAATGTGAAAAAGAGTTTAAAACCTTGTTTATATTTTGTCGTCTTTTTTCTTATACAAGAACTTTACATGATTTATTCCTTTATTTATTGTCAATTTTTTTAGTTAAATTTTACAATTTTGTTATAACCTTCAATTTTTTTCTGTAATATGTTACATTTTTTACAATTTATTTTTTAAATGAAAAAATACGGACACTATTTATTCATTTGGCTCATGGCCTACAATTTTTCATGACGGCTCTGCTGTTCATTACGCAATTTTTTGTTTTGCTTTTTTCTTACTTTTTTCTATTTTGGTTATGTGTACATATATTTATCGTAGAATATTAGATTTATATATGATAGAATATTATTTGATATATTGTTTCATTCTTTAATAGATTTCTTAATTGAAAAAGAAGAGATAAGAAAGGAATGATATATCTTGTAGAAAAAGAGAGAAAAAAAAGATTAAGAAAACGAGAGAACATAGCAGCAACGTGCTTTGGATGGTCAAGAACGTGAAGAAGAGCAGCAAGCTTACAACCAAGGAATTTGTGAAGTTTTTGGAAGACAAGGACGGATCTTGGAAATCAAACATTCAATTATTCATCTAAACTTCTATTCTTGATTACTAGCCGCTCCTCATTCACTTCGGAGTATTTTATTTTATTGTTCGATAATTTGAATTGATACTCATTTCACAAGCGTTTCGCACTTGTAGGTTAAATTTTGATTATCCGTGTTCGTTATTTCTAGTGCATGAAAGCTTTTAATTGTTGAATTTTAATTTGTCGATGTAACAGATGTAGTACGTTATGTCATGACACCTCGGACGACACCTGAAGTGTGATTTTTAAATTTGAATTTTTGGTTGAAAATCTGGATTCTTGGGTACCAAACCTTCGAACAAGTAGCATCAGAGCGGGTCGCTTAATTTAATAGGTGTGATTCTGTTTTTTAGGTATGTATGGAGTTCACGAGAACTTCACTATTTCGGCTTTCGGTTCTCGATAGCTCGAATTATACCATATGAAAAATGCACATGAAGCCTTTCATCAAATCTATTGAGGAGCGCACAAGGGTGTTCGTATCTCTGGATGGAAGCTGTTGACCAAAGAAGTCGAAGGGATAAATATCGAGGAAAACGAAGCTAACTACAGTATGCAAGAGTTCGCATTGGCCAATTGACGTGCGTCACGACGCGAACAATTAGAATTTATATTTTTCCTCGACTAACCTCCACTAACTAGTAGTATAAGAGAGTAAGGATCGATCTCACGAGGAGTGTGAATCAAATCGTGATTATTTCATATTAACTGAAATTATGAAAGCAATAAAAGAGGGAGAATTGTGATTTAATAACTAAACTAATTAAAATCTTAATGAAACAAATACAATCTAAACAAGAAAATAAAAATAAATTAAGAGAAATTTATAGTTCACCGTTCCGTCTACGCCCTCGCTCGACTAGTCTAACTAATTGTGACATCGAGTTTCATTATTTTTTAAATTACTAGCCCTAGGTAACAACACCCTCTACTTCCCGAATTTTTCCTTACATTATATTTAGTCGTAACATTTGGTTAAAGGTAACTATTGGACAATTTAGAATACACTCTCTAGATTTAATGCAGTATGACCTTTAGGATCTAGGAAAATAGGCTAGCCTATGTAGTAGACTCACACGCTCGATCTACTTAATTAAGTCATGTTATTCTCAACAGTTTTCGGCTATCGTTTGCTACAAACAAATCAAACTCAACAAGAATTACGGATTGCAAATTTAATTCTTGCATTAAACATGAAAAATTTTATTTAGGTGCTCAAACCAAATAAAATAAAACATTTTATGGTTGATCAAATAAAGTAACACAAGCAATTTCATACAAGTAGCAAAATAATCCATCACCAAATTAATTAAACACAGTCAAGTACGTAAGGTTCAACATCCCCATAACTAGAAATAAAAACTAGCCTAACATAATGAATAAAAAAAATAGAAGAATATTCTACTGCTATGTGTGTTGTCTGCCCAAAAAAATCCTCTTTTCTTTTTTCCCCAAGCTGTTTTTTTCTGGGTGAGTATGTATCCTTGGTTGTGGCGTGTGTGTTACTCCACAAGAAATAAATCCTCTTTTGTGTGTGTCCAAATCTTTCTAATTAGTCATTTGTGGGTACTCTTCTTAATTAATTGGGCCCTCTAGTATTATGTCTCTCTCTCTTCTTTGTCAGACACTTAAACAAGAAGCTCCAGACAATTAATTAAATTCATAAGGTTTACATTCAATCCAATAGATGTGGACCTTTGATCTCAATCCATAAATCTTGAGCCCAAATTCGTTGGTATTTGGGTACCCCATACCAATCTGCTTCAATCTTGATTCGAAGTCTCATCGTCTATTAAAGTACTTCAATATCTTAAAAATAAAATATAAAAATATTAAAGTATTAGAATCCATCCAAGAACTAAATAAGTTGAAAATATATAAGTGCGACAAAATTAAGCATATAAAAATAAGCTAATAAATATATAAAATACATATTTTTTCGACCAATCAGTTTTTCTCAAACTTAAATCGATGTTTATCTTCAAGCAGCTTAGATACAAGCACATAAAATATACGGACAATAAGTACATGAAATTTTACTTAGGTCCTCATAATTCACACATAAGTACATAGTTCAAACAACTCATATTAATTTATCTAGATTCGATATGAAACCTTGTTAGAACGCACACATGAAGTATCAATCTGTGAGTCAATATCTGCAGCATATATATCGATCAACACAGCTAGTGACACCCTTCTCTATGCTAACAAGTCTAGTTTGCTTTTGCTTCTAGTTGAAGCCGAAATATCTCATTCTTCATATTTTTTTCTCTTTTTTTCTTTAGATAGGAAACGGCCGCTCCGCACAACTTGTGGGTTTTAGTCTTTCGCACTTGTATCGACACAGAAGTATATGGTCACTATGCAAATAAATGTGCTAATACCTTAAGAAAATGAGGATTGGATTTTTATATCACTTTGAGCGATGATGATGAATTTGAGGACATTTCAATGAAAGGCGATGCTGATAAAAACGATGATGTTGCTTTTATGATAACCCTCGAAGAATGGAGGGCCACATAAACTGATTTTTCAAGTGTCAGTCGAGGTGTTGAGCAACATGTCATGACACCTGATAGGTATGACACATCGGACGACACCTGAAGTCTGATTTTTAAATTCAAAATTTTAGTTGAAAATTTGAATTCTTGAATACATAAAATTCTAACATTACCTATGTATGACATAGAAAGTTTGGTGAATTTTGAGAGGTAACTTTGAAAAGGGGATAATAACATTTGAAAGGAAGAGTTCTAAGTTTGATTAAATTTGACTGCAATGTACTTTTTATTAAAAGTACCGTGAGATTACCCTCTAGCTTGAGTGTTGGAGTTCTCTTGTCGAAAATCCTCTCGGCGTGTTTTGTAGATCAACGGAGAACGAATTGAGAAGATGATCAACGTGTAGCCAATTTATTTGCATCTAGAGGAAAATTGCATATCAACGGTAACCTAACTAACTTCTCATTTTTATTTCTTGCTAGTTTTGCCCTCCACATTCTAATTATTTCCTATCTAGCAAATGATTTTAAGTTATGACTGTGATAGTTTCTTCACACAATCCCACTTGATATACTATCATGGCCATGTCCAGAAATTTGGAGGCCCTGATAAATTTTTTAATTTTTTATTTTTATTTTGACTTGCATTTATACATATATATTTATAAATTTTTTATTAATTAAATAATCTTAAAAATAATTAAGAATTTAACATATAAGATATTGTCACGTATAATAAATAATTCATAACATCAAACTAAAAATATATTTCATAATATTTTTTTAAATATCAAGAACTCACAAACTGAAAACCAATAATATATCTATGATGTAATTTGAAAAAAATAAATCGGAAAACAAATATGTCATATGACTTTGTTATTAATTGCAGTCACTCGAGTTGCTTCAATTTTAAAAATAATTATTCTTTATAATAAAATAAAAGTTAAGAATGACCAAATTAATTTATTTGAGAAAATTTTAAGTTGTGTCAATTTGTGTTCTTTGTTTTCATTCAATGTAAATGCACAAAATGTAACAATGTCCTATAAAACTAATGCTAATATTTTAAGTAACAAATTACTAATATATTAAGAAAAAAAAAAAAGAAAAAAAAAAAGAAAAAAAAAAAAGAAACTCCCTAAGAATTCAGGGCCCTAGGCTTGCCTTGAGCAACTTGTCCAAGAGTCGGCCCTTTATATTAATGCACAACATTTAAGCATATGGGTCGATTTATAGTGATCGTAATCTTATATGATATAGCATCTATGATAGCTCGATGGATCGATTAGAGTGGTTAGCTCGAGTTAATCGGTTCAGGATAAGATTAGCTTGGATATGTATATAATTATGTGTATATATGAGAATTGGCCGAGCTTTGACGGTGAATAGAAAATAGACATTTTTTCAATTTCAAATATATAAGTAACAATATTTTACATAACATAAAAACATGGAGAAATGAAATTACTGCTCACTGGTACAATCGTCACGGCGTGGGGTTTAAAGCGGGTTTAGGTTTACCATAACGTCGTCGTTTCAAGCACAGAATTATTTGTCATCCATCTTCTCCCGCATCCCGTATTATTCCAGTAAAATATCACATTTTATTCCGGTAGAACACCGAGCAACACTGTCGCACTGAGTTATCACTCATCAATTCAACCCTCTTCACATTTCGCATAGAATTAGCCTTAAATCCTTTGAAGTTACTTTAGTTTTTTTTCGCTCCCATAGCCACCCTGAATTCCTCCGCAGGATTTTTTTTCTTTTTTTCTTTTGAAATTCAAGAATTACTTTCCACTCATTGGATGCTCTACTGGTTCTTTTTAATTCGAGGAACTCGAGGTTGTTTGCTGGATATTTCCCCTTTCACCTATCAATTTTAACTCCCAGAAAAAATAAAATAAGTTGGCCCTGGAGTTTTCGAATAGATGGCTCTTCATTGTAGCTCATTGAGTTTCAGCTGTGTTGGGCCGTCCAATCGGTTGATGGGCCCATCTTTGTTTTTCAGGAATTGCCTTATTGTGAAACCATCAGCCTTTTCATCTCCGTCGCCATCTTCGTTTGTAAGATTCAGACTTCAAGGTGAGGTTCAGTTCCCCTTTTACTGTTTCTCAAGTCAGTCGGCTTATTGTTTACAGCGCTCTTATTGGGTTCCTTAGAGATGCAATAGAGTTTGGTGATGTTTCTGTTTTTCATCTCTTAAAAATATACTTTTTAATTGCATTTACCTTTCTGCTTCAAAGAAGGATAGTGATAGTGAGCTGCAAATGGTGAGTGTATGCAGTTTATTTCAGAAAACAATTGTGACTCTAGTGTTGGCTTATAAAGAAGCGTGGAGTTTGCTATATGTCTCATATGGGCTTTTCAATTTAACCCAAATCTCTCTAAATTACCATTTTTGTATTTCCTCTCTCACTGAATTTCCAGAGTTCCAAATCCGTAAAGTCAAGATTAACTACCGGTTGTCCGGAATTTTTTTCCTCAATATCCTCTTGATTCTATCAAATCGCTTTTCACTGTTTTTTTTTTTTTTTTTNTTTTTTTTTTTTTTTTTAAAAAAAAGGTGTTTCTATGTACCAATTTTTTGTTAATATCATTCAAATGTTAGGAATTGTGACGAGCACCACAAGTGCAGCTCAAGTGGAGGTTGAATATGAAGTTGCAGAGGGGTGCACGATAACCGAATTTTGTGACAAGATAATCGATGTTTTCCTGAATGAGAAGCCTAAGTCTAAGGACTGGAAAAGATATTTGATTTTCAGAGATGAGTGGGGCAAGTACCGGGAAAGGTTCTACAGTCGCTGTAAAGTGCGTGCGGATGCTGAAAGTGATTCCCAACTGAAGCAAAAATTAATCAACTTATCCGTAAAAGTCAAAAAGGTGTTCTATGATTGTTATTGCTTGAACTAGTTCTTAGCAATTGTTGCATTTGCTGGAAAATCTGGTTTGGTCTAATGGGATTTTGGTATGCTTGTGACATGGTAAAATGAGGTAAATCTGAATGTTGTAGATTGATGATGAAATGGGAAAGCATGCTGAGCTCTTGAAAGAGATAGAAGATAATCCCATGGATATAAATGCTATAGTAGCAAGGAGACGTGTGGACTTTACTGAGGACTTTTTTCGCCATCTCACTTTGCTCTCTGAAATATATGACGGCTTGGAGGACAGAGATGGTAATTTCTATATTGCTTGGATAAATAACTGTTGAGCTAATTTTATTTCTCTAAGGTGGTTAAATAATGGCGGGCAGAATGTCTTTCATAGCTATGTGTATATATGGCATGGTTCTATGGATTGTTCTTGACATTATATAGGGCATGTTTTCAAGATTTCTTATCTTGTCAAATGAAGTTTGTAAGATCTTACATTTTAAGTCAATAAATAGTTAATTATTTAATGGATGGTGTCCTTTTTACCATATTTACCAAGTGTGACTGTAACGAAGGAATTCACAGAGTGATAAACAAAAGAAGGTGGGGGAAGAAAATATTTTGAAGCCTAATTTAGAAAATGTTCCATGTTATTCTAAGTGCCATGCTAATACTTGTAATTCATCAAGAGCAGTTGTTAATGCAATTTTTAGTTTGTATCTCAAGTAAGCATATATTTTCATGGGAAGTACATATATTAGCCATTCCTAACTTCTAAGTGGTGGCATTTTCTAAGATTTGAAAATTATTGTATTACTCATTAGTACTGGATGATATGAATATCAACATTGTATGTTAGTATTACTTCACCATATATCATTAATCTTTGTGTTCACCTTTTAATTATTTGGATGATATGCATTTCAACATTATATGGTAATTTTAATTCACCTACAGTATATCATTACTGTTTTTGTTCACCTTTTAACTATTTGTTTATTTTTTGAATTGTGGATTTTGATTATTTGAATTTATGAAAAAAGACCATGCATATTTTTTTTTTCCTTGAGCAGCAATTGCTCGACTGGGAGCACGATGCCTATCAGCTGTCAGTGCCTTTGATAACACTCTGGAAATTGTTGGCACATTAGACACTGCCCAGGAGAAATTTGACGACATCTTGAATTCTCCTTCAATAGATGAGGCCTGTGAGAAAATCAAAAGCCTGGCCAAGGGAAAAGCACTCGACTCTTCTCTTATTTTGTTGATAAATGGTGCTTGGGCATCAGCCAAAGAGTCAACTACGATGAAAAACGAGGTACACCCCAAATTTCTGTTAAAATATGACTTCTGGATAAAAATGAAAAGAAAAAAGAGCAACTTTTCAACTTATGAAGGTGTGTAATTTTATGTTCTAAGGTTGTTTTGGTTATGCACTCTTGATTCAAGATCATATATAACAAAATGATTGGTGAATACTTTATCATTTAGCTT